GTGGGGGGGAAGACAAACACCCAGAAAATATGGGAAACTATGGGGAATATATTTTTTGTATATTTATTTGTGTGTCCCAGGGCCCCTTCAACCAGTCGTGATGGTCGCGGGCGCGGCGAGTGAACAAGATTGCGGGGGAAGTCCCTCGCGGCGAGGGGGCGATTCGTGTGTGTATCTATATATATATACATCGTGAGGGAGTCCCGCGCGAGAGTGCGATGCTGAATGAAAGGTGGGGACGTATCAAGGGGAGCCGTTGTGTTGCTGTTGTTGTTGTTGTTGTTGTTGTTGTTGGTGTTGGTGTTGGTATTGGTGTTGGTGGTATTGTGGTTGTTGTTGCTGCTGTTGTTGTTGTTGTTGGTGTTGTTGGTATTGTTGGTGTTGTGATTGTTGTTGTGGTTGTTCTTGTTGCCCGTGGGCCAGCAACCCAGGCTGAGCCTCAAGATGTTTGTTTGTAGAAAGATCAGGTGCGATTCCCAGGAGGAGCACCTACATGGAAAACACAACAGGCACCGGAGGAGGGGGATCAACAGTAGTAATTTTCAGAGACCCGAATCATCAGGGGTAACTCGGGTCAGGGCTAACTCGGGTTCGTTGTTCGGGGATCCGAACCCGAGTTGCCCCGGGCCCGAGTTACCCCGGATAACTCGGACGTCCAGAGCCCCAAATCATCAGGGATAATTCGGGTCAGGGCTAACTCGGGTTCGTTTCTCGGGAATCCAAACCCGAGTTACCCTGGGCCCGAGTTACCCCGGATAACTCGGGCGCCCAAAATTTCAGACATGGGAATTCAGTAACGGCTGAGGGGGCAGCATGTGGTTCTCCCGGCGGCGCTGGCAGCGGGGTCGAGGAGGGCGAGGTTTCCCAGGAGGGGTTGAACAAGGAGGGAGGAAGAGGAGGAGGAGGAGGAGGAGGAGGACGAGGAGGAGGAGGACTCGTCAACGATATTGGAATGCACCTCCCTCCAAGTTCCCTCACCATAGGCCCCTCACAAGGATTCATTTTCACTGAAAGAGGTGCCCCGTTGGGACGCAACTGACAGAAAATTCAGAATTGTGCCAGAAGCCACTCCTGGGACTTCAACGCCGCGAATCACCGTTACTGCTGCGTCTTGACGATCCTGCACCGTGCCAGAGCACCATTCCTGGGATGCCAACTCCAGCGAAACAACGTAAGTGTTGCGTCCTGAGAGTCCGACATCACGCCAGGACGCCATTTCTGAGACGATCACCATGAGAATCCTTGAAACTACTGGAAACTCTTATTTATATAAAAACGAACGTGCGCGGCGCTAGGGTGAGAACCGTTTGACAAGGAGCCGCCCTCCATCCGCGAAAGCTCTTGCATTGTTTTGCTACGGATGTGCGCGGCGCTGAGACGAGAGCCACAGTTTGAAAACGACCCGACCGCCATGCGTGAAACTAATGCATATTTGGGAAGCGGATGTGCGCGGCGCTACGGCGAGAGCCACATTTTGAGAACGATCCGCCCTCAATCCGTGGTCATAGTGGTCAGGAATCTCAGGCGATACGCCCGGCCCACCCTTTCGACCGGCCTCGGGGTGCGACAGGAAGGAGTTATTCAGAAGGAGGATGAAGAGTGGAGTGGGAGTGGAACCGCTGACGAAGTAAGACATGAAAGAAACTGCCTCAACTAAGCTCGACGAGACACGCGACGATGATGTGGCTCATCACCACCGCGCCTCCAGCCCAGCGGTGCCGACGCAGAGCCCCCAGACGTGATGCGAACACCCAGGCTGAGGCTGCGCGGCGACTGCTGCCTCGCCCTTTGAGATCGTACACATTCATCATTGCTAATTCTTCGAAGCTTCTATCATTTTTTGAGGGGCCCAGATCCTTTCTTTTCTAATTGTTTTATCCCGGGCCTCTTCCTGGCCACTAGGTGGCCAGGAACAATCAGAAACGAGCACCATCAGAAATGGACACGATTAGTAATGAACGACGTGTAGCTGATCGAGGCAACCAAGTGGCCGAACTCGGCGAAGAACATGAGGGCGACAATGATAAACAGGGGTCCCACTCAGCTAATTCACCGTGGCGGGCGCCTGGGGTGCCCATGTGAGCGCCCTGGGAGCGCCCCGGGAGCCCCTGGGATATCTTGGAAGCATCCTGGAATGTGCGGTGAGTCCCTGGGAAGGCTCTGGACCCTGGGAGCAATGGGATCGCCTGGAATGGCTCTGGGAAGGCCAGGAGGCGCATTGCACGGTTCCACACAGCACCCTCAGCTGTATCATTGCCAGGTGCACTGATGGTCGGATGCTGGGTCAGCATCGGCCGAACTTTCTGCAGCAGACGGTGCGAAAATGACGGTCCGAAAATGAACGATCGATGCCATGGCGTTCAGGGCCTTTGCTGCAGCCGTCGCGAATCTGTCGGCGGTCGCTGCCTCGCGAGCCGCGCTGGCCGCGAGCCTGAGCACGCGGCGCACCCCACCGCCAGACAGCAGGCCAACAGCGGCGCCATCCGCCACAGTTCGCTCCACGCTGGCCAAGCTTGCGTCGCTGAGCATGCAGATGGCGTCGGACTGCTTCGCGTCGCCGCCGCGCTCCTCCGGCCTCCCGCCTCTAAGACGCCGGAACTGCGGGAACGTACTGAGCTCGGCGTCGGGCCGCGTGTCGGGCACGTCGTCGGGCGACGAGCCGACAATGGTCTCGGCATCGGACTGGGGGTCGGCATCGGCGTCCACTTCCTCGGCGGCGGCGGCTGCGGCGCCGGCGGCAGGGTCGTCGTCCCCCGTGAGGGTCCTGACAGCGTCGCCGCCTGCGGCAGGCAGCCTCCAGCAGACCACCCTGGAGAGATCCAGGATGTTCGAGAACGCCACGGCGCCGCACGCGCACCGACCGCGCACGCGCCCCGACCGCCGAGCACCGCGTGCTCGATCACGCGGGCGAGGGCGCCTGCGACAGGCACGAAGTCCACCGCGTCGGCTCGCAGCGACTGCTCCGTCAGCACTGCCTCCTGCTGCACGACCCCCACCGCTGGCACCAGAGCCCTGAAGCGCCTCTGGATGGATTTCACCTCGGTCTGTGATGCCTCAGCCAATGCGCTCGCAGGAAGATCGAAGACGTGCGAGGCCACGTCCTGCCTCGCAACGGTCGGGAGGCGACCAGACAAAGCGGCCGCAAGGACGGGGGGCACGAGTTCAAGCCGCGTCGAGAGCTCGGAATCGTTGCCGAGCACCGATCGCAGGTCCTCCAGCCGCTTCGGCAGCGCCGCACTCTCGCTCGTCGGCCTCCTCGCGAGACTGTCTGCTGCAGCTGCCACCTCCGTGCGCCGCTGACGCCTGCCAGCTGCACTGCTCTCCATGTTTCGCCACACACCGGGGGCGATTCCCGTAGCCACCCCCCGTTGCGACGATCCCCAACCGCCCCGGTCCGACTGAGCTCCAACGCTGCCGACGACGCCAGGGGCCGGTGGGCGGAAGCTTGCCGACTCGAGCAACTGGGCTTCGTCCGCCGTGGACGGCCTGAGCCAAAGCGGCTACGGACGGAAGGTGGAGGAGGAGGAGGAGGAGGAGGAGGAGGAGGAGGGAGGAGGAGGAGGACGAGGGAGGAGAGAGGAGGGAGAAAGAGGAGCAGATTGCATTGGGCGGGCGCCGTTGGGGAGCGCCCCTGATCCACATCCGTGTGCTCGGGCCGGCTGCGCGCGCAGGGGCGGGAGAAGGAGGATGAGGAGGGGGGGGACCAGGGGGAGGAAGAGGTGCCCATCCCCTTCTGCCCGCTTGCCCGTTGCTCGGCCTCCTGGGAGGCCCCCGCTCGCCACCGCGGGACTCGCCTCGAGCCTCGAGATCCTGGTCAGAACGCACCCCTTGAGAGGTCCAGGGAGTAGCGGTACCGGTCTCACTCGGTCTCCCTATCAAGGGGACGTGGCATTACAGCAGCTTGTATGTGGATCAGTGAGTGGTTCTCGCTGTCCCAGGGCCAAACAGTAAGAACGGAGTGCGCAGCCTTGCCCGCCCGCCCCCCTGAAAGGAAGGGGAGCACCCAGCAGTAAGACTCCAGGCGGCCAAAGATCGCAAACGACAGGGCGGGCGGAACGACGTCGGTCCTGACAGAAAACAATGCAGTGCAAACCTCTCGTCGCAGACATCACTCCAGGCCTACATCAGCAAGTTCACTAGGGTACGGGAGGCTGTCGTGACGGGTAGGGCGCAGACCCAGGTTCCCGTCGCGAAGCAAAAGTTTCCAGACTCTGGCCCCCTTCGCGAAGCAAGAGTGTCCAGAGCCAGGTCCCCGTCGTGAGTCAAGAATGTCTGGTCGCGGGTTCCCGCCGTGACGCGGGAGTGTCCAAGCCCAGACATCCGTCGCGAAGCAGGAGGGCTTGTTCTCGGGCCCCCGTCGTGCAGCAGGTGTGTCTGGACCCGGGCTCCCGTCGTGAAGCAAGCGGACGTTCCTGACCTTGGCCCCCGTCGAGAAGCATGTCCAGACCCGGGCGCCCGTCGTGTTGCAAGTGTGTCCAGACAGGAGCTCCCGTCTCGGGAGCGAAAGAAGGACGTACACGTACATGAATCCACGCCTGTTTCGAGAGTCCGCATTGCGCAAGTGTTCGTATCATGCGGCCAGTCTCGCGGATCGAGAGGCCGTGTTCATGTACATAGCTTGGCGCGTACGTCCTTCGTGGGCTCCCTACCTTAGTGAAGCATGAGTATCTGGACCATGACCCTCGTCGTGAAGCAGCAGTTTCTGGTTTCTTTGTTCCACTCGGGCAGCAGGAGTGTCCGGCCAGGGCCCCACGGTGCAGCAAGAGTGCATCGATTGCACGTAGAACGCAAGACCAGGCAGCCCTCTGCGCCGCAAAAACGAAATGCGGCGAACATGGTGCGTCAAGGACTCGGTGAGCCATTTCGGGGGGGGGGTCGCATCTCCACCAGCTGCCCGATGAACGATCGAACCAATGCGCTCGAAACCACCACGCAGCATGCTCTTTGGCAACGACACGGTCTCACATGGACACTACGTTTACAAGCTCAAGTCGTTAGCGATGCAGTGCCAAGCCAGTGGCATGAGTAATGCGATATTCAGAAATTGGTTCCAAACATGCCATACCAAGAATTGTGTACGCAATTATCCCCAACACATTCCAGAGGTTGTAGCGTAGTCAGCTGGCCGGCGGTTCAAGATAAACATCACAGTGCCACTATAATCAAGACCGCCGAGCACCTTCGAAATTTGGCGTATGTGCAATAACCTCACTCGGATACCATCGTGCGCTACTGCAGACCTGGATTCCGACCAGCCAGCCTGCTGCAGGTTGTCATATGACAACCACAATCAGTCGGCCATACAACCCCAACCACGGGTTGGATAGGACGATGCAGCAAAACCCAGCGTTGGCGAAGATCGGTTGACGCAGCCCAAACTAGTGGGAGGAGGAGGAGGAGGACGACGACGAGGAGGAGGAGGAGGAGGGAGGAGGGAGGAGGAAGCAGGGAGAAGAGAAGATGGAGGAGGGAAGAGGCCCCCCGACGAATTTGCCGACGACGAGCGGCACCGCGAGGTGACCGTCGAGCGGCGCCAGAAGTGGTTCGAGTCTCTCGACGTCGAGGAGCTGCTGCTGCAGCGGGGCATCTCGTTCCGGCCCGTCACGTGGAACGAGGACCGCGCTCCCAGCTCCTCTGGGGTCCACCCATGCCAGTCTTGTGGAAGTCGATTAATGGAGAGGAAGCGTGCTGCCCAATAGTTTACAGATGTCTAACAATGTTTCAAACATGTTTTTATTATAAACACATGTTCAAAACATGTTCAGAGCATGCTTTACACATATTTTAAACACATGTTTAATTCAAGGATCGGATTGTTAGAGTGTCCACTGTCATGGCATCCATAATGCCAGTCTGTCTTCCAGGACCGATGTTTGATGACCCCTGGCCCGAAAGATGTCTTCAGAGGCCGCAATGCGCGAGCAGCAAGCACACATCGAGGACCATCGGCTGCAGCTCGACGGCACGTGGAGGAGGAGGAGGAGGGGGGGTGCGGAGCAGGACGGGGCAGGCGGGCGAGCGGGCGGGGGGCAGGAGGAGGAGGAGGAGGAGGAGACGGCGGAGGAGGAGGTTGGCGGTGGGAAGTGGGGAGAAGGAAGCGGAAGACTGGAGGAGGAGGAGGAGGAGGAGGAGGAGGAGGAGGAGGAGGAGGAGGAGGAGGATTGGAGGATTGGAGGACTGGAGGATTTGGACGAGGCGGAGGAGGAGGAGGTCTGCGCGCCGAGGACCACTGGCTGCAGCTCGATGACTTCGACAACACCGAGTACGACATCCGCACCCCCGAGCAGTGGCTCGAGCAGGGGTGGACGGAGGCGGGGTTCCTGCCGGTGCGCGCCTGCGGTCTGCGCCTCAGCGAGGAGCGCGCCCCCTCGGAGGGCAGAAACAGGGGCGACGACGGCGACGGTGGTGGCGGGAGCAGCGACGGCGGCGACCTCAAGGGCGGCAGGAGGGGGGCGACGACGGGGACGGGGACGGGGATGACGGCGACGGCGGCGACGGCGGCGACAACGAGGGTGGCGGGGACGAAGGCGACGTCTTCGTTGCGGCGTTACTTTCGTCTCGGCGTTACTTCTGGAGATGATCGTTGCCACGGCTGCGCGCGGCTCGAAGCACTTGCCAGGATGGATCCCGGGAGGGGTCCAGGGGCCATTGTTGAATATTTTTTGGTTTGACGAGGGCGACGATGAGGACAACCACGACGATGGCGAGGACGACGACATCAGAGGAGCAGGAGGAAGAGAAGGAGGACGACGAGGACGAGGACGACGGTCGACGACCCATGTTTAAAACGTCTTGAAACACGCCAGCGGATTTTGCTTCCCAGTTTCGGCCTCTGGGGGCCGTTTCCACGCCGACGTCTGGAAACGATCCGGGACGAGATACTGGCCCCGTGGAAGTTCTACATGATTACCGAGCCCACGGCGCTAGAGGTCTGGGGTCGAGGAGGAGGAGGAGACGGAAGGGAGGAGGGGGATGGGGAGGAGGAGGAGGAGGAGGAGGAGGAGGAGGAGGAGGAGGAGGAGGAGGAGGAGGAGGAGGAGGAGTTGGAGGAGGAGCAGGAGGAGGAGCAGGAGGAGGAGCAGGAGGAGGAGGAGGAGGGGAAGGAGCCGAACGTTGCAGAGACATCACAGTGCCCGAGGTGCGTCAAGCCCCCCCTGCGCGGCGAGCCTTCCAGGTGACAGCGGCAGGGGGGACACGCCAGGAAGCCGCCGCAAGCACGTCGGCGACGCCAGAAGTCGGGCATGATGTCCGCCAGAGGGGAGAGAGCGTCGCCCTCGACCAGATCTGGGGCCCACGTGCTCCCCGCTCTCGCCACTGCGAGCACCGCCAGCGTCGACAGCTCGCAGCGGTCGTCGTCGTCGTCGGCGGCGGCGGCGGCGGCGGCGGCGGCGGCGTCGCCTCCAGCGAGCGGCGTGCGCGGGCGCCGCGGGCCTCCGCCCGCACCGCGTGGCCGACGCAGCCGCTCCCAGACGGGAGCTGGGCTGCGCACGAGGGCCTATGCTCTCGAGGATCGATCGAGGCGGCCTCTCGAGGATCGATCGAGGCGGCCTCTCGAGGATCGATCGAGGCGGCCTCTCGAGGATCGATCGAGGCGTGCCAAAGAGGGCCTTTGCTCTCGAGGATCGATCGGGGCGGCCTCTCGCCCTCGGCGGAGGGGCGGCGGGAGGCCGGCGCCAAAGCGGGCGGGAGCGAACCCGGGGCCCCATGCCACCGGCGGGAGCAGAAGGCGATTGCCCGAGAGATGCCAAGCCTTTGGGGGCTCAGGGTTGCCGGAAGCCGCCACGTGCTCCGCCATCCTTCGGGGAGAGAGCGATCGGGTTGGGAGGAGAAGGTTGGGGCACCAATTCCCGGATGGCTCCTGGAGGGCGCAGGAGGAGCCCCAGAGCGCCTTCCAGCCTCCGACAGAGCTCGCAGCCCTCCTGTGAAGTTGCAGCGTGTCCCGGAGGCGTTTTCCTACTGTTTCCCACTGCGTGTCAAGTTTTCCACAAGATCTCAGAGCTTCCAGAGCTCTCTCGAGGGAACTTGCAACTTGCGAAAGATTCTGTCGCCGCGCTCTCCGGGCTTTGGACACGACAGGGGACAAGATCATCCGCAGACTCGCGTACGCCGAGTGGGCGTCTTACACAGCCGTACCCTGCATCTTCCGAACCCCCTTCCTCCCAGCACGATCGCGGCCTTTCTGGGCCGCGTGACCTCGGGGGCCCCGAAACGGGGTGGTGACTGACGGAGGAGGAGGTGGAGGAGGAGGAGGAGGAGGAGGAGGAGGACCACCTCCCCCTCCAACTTATGGTGGTGGTGGTGTTGGGAAACAGGCCCATCGCTGCATATGCTTCGCGTGCGGCCTCGGGAGGCCGTGTCCGGACCCCTGGGCCGCCAAGCAGCACATCGGGACGACAACGCGACCGGGTGGAGACGGACGGGGCTACAGGACGAGGATAAGCTTGTGGAGGAAGATCAATGGAGAGGAAGCGTGCTGCCAAATAATCTCCAGATGTCTAAACATGTTTCAAACATGTTTTAGATATGCAACAACATGTTTGAAGCATTTTTAGAGCATGCTTTACACATTGTAAACACATATGACAGGATTGTTAGAGTCTCCATTGGCAAGGCATCCACAAGGATAAGCCCTTCCCAGAGCGTGCCAGAGCGCTTCCAGAGCGAGCCGAGACGCTCCGGGAAGGCCGCGGCGCCCGACGCATTCTCGAGCCAGATGTATCCTCTCCCGATGTTGTCATCGCCCTGGTTTTAGGTCGGGCATGTCCGCCTACAGGCCGATTTTGCACGAAACATAAAACAGATTCGTCGAAACATCTGCAGAAATATTCAAACATACGAACAAAAATCGCCCCCGGACTAATTTTTAGACTATTTTTGAATTTTCCCCCTGCAGAGGGACAGGCCTGACTTGGCCCTGACTTCGTCTTACCTGGAGGAGAGCGGGACGAAGCTTCGGGGGCCCGCTTCGCCAAGCAGCCTCGGCGTCGGTGGGGCCCTGGTGCACGGCGTCTCTCCGGGCCCGCCTCGATCGGAGCCGGGCGCCTGCCCCCGAGGACGGCGGCGGGGTGTGGCAGGAGTGCGTTGCGGTGGGCCTCACCGAGGACAAGAGGTTCCAGGCCGGCGTTGGGCCGGGAAGCCGTGGCCGGGCGCGAAATCATCCGGAGGTGGATCGACCTCCCACCCTGACGCCTCGATTCAGGCATTGGCCGTGTTCGGTTCGCGAGAGGGCGTCGCGGCCGTCAGTTTTCACCAAGGCCGCTTTCACCAAGGGGAGGTTTACTAAAGGGAGGTCTGCCCACGGCCGATAATTGTGTGTGTGTGTGTGTGTGTGTGTGTGTGTGTGTGTGTGTGTGTGTGTGTGTGTGTGGTGTGTGTGTGTGAGCGTGTGCGTGCGGGGGGGATAAATTGGGGGGGCCGCTGAAAAGGGGCCCTCCTTCCGGGCCCCCAGAGGTGCCCTGCAAGGCCCCAGAAGGGGCCCCTTGGGGCCCGAAAAGCGGCTCCTCTCTTCCCCCCCTTTTTCGTCGCCCTGCATGACTTCGCGCCCAGTGCGGCCGATGTCTCCGCCATCGGGGGCGCGATGTGGTCGGCGCTGCAGGGGGACTCTGCGCGCGAGGGCGGCCCGACGCGGGGCCTCTCCCAGCCCCCCCCGCGTCCGCCGCCGCCCCCGCCTCCCCGAAGGCTGCCGGCGATCCCCCGCGCCTCCGAGGCCGTGGTGCCCTCGTGGCGTGGGCCCCCCGGGGCTTGGACCTATTGGGACTCCTTTGCCCGGGGCCTCCTCCTCCTCCTCCTCCTCCTCCTCCTCCTCCTCCTCCTCCTGCTCCTCCTCCAACTCCTCCTCCTCCCCCTCCTCCTCCTCCTCCTCCCCCTCCTCCTCCTCCTCCTTCTCCTTCCTACCCTCACCATCCATTACCTCCTCCTCCTCCTCCTCCTCCTCCTCCTCCTCGTCCTCGAAGAGCCCGAAGAGCCCGAAGAGCCCGAAGAGCCCGAAGAGCCCGAGCAGGGCCGCCGTCGGCCCAGGGCCAGGAGAGGACCTGCCGCCGCCAGCTGTCACACGCCCGGAAGGTGGCCTCAGATCCGGCGATGTGAGTTCTTGATCCTCGGGAGCCCTGGGGCGGGGGTCGTCGGTGCAAACGGGGGTCAGCCAGAGCGGCGGATCTTGCAGGATCCTGCAGGGCCAGGGTCGCATCGACCCGGGCCTGGGTGCAGGATCCTGCAGGATCGTTCGCATTGACCCGGGTTTGGGTGCAGAATCTTGCAGGATTCTGCGATGCCTGACTGACCCGGGTATGGATTGAGCCGGGTCAGGAGATCCCCGATCCGCGGCTCCAGAGTTCCCCACCGCTTCCCCGGGGGCAGCTCTCCATCCTCGATGCTTGCGGGATGGCCCCAGGACCCGAAACGGGCCCGACGAGTTGATTTTGGTCGACTGACGCCAGGGCTGAACAGATGAATCCTTCCAGAACTCAGCCACGCGCAGAGGGGGGTGGGGGGGAGGGGAGAGGGCTTCTTAGAAGCACCCCTGCTTCTCAGAAGGCGCGGGCCTTATCTATAGGTGTGCGGCCGGCGCCTTCTAAGAAGCAGCCTCCTTCTAAGGAGCCCCCCCCTCCACCCCCTTGTGCGCGCCGCCAAAGAGCGCCGCCAAAGACTGAAGGGAACAGGGTGGCATCGAGCGCTCGTGCTCGCGCGCCCGCGCGCAGGTGCAGTGGGTCGAGCCAGCCGGGGACCAGGTGGCCCGGGACCGGGACAGGGCGCCGGCGGTGCTCACCCGGCTGCAGTGCCTGTTCCTGGGCGAGGACCGCGGCAGAGAGGGCGGATGGCAAGGGGGAGGGCAGGAGAGCGAGAGAAGCGGAGGAGGAGGAGGAGGAGGAGGAGG